TAGACATGTAGCTAGCTAGCTAAACAATGAACCATAATCCCAAATCATAACGTTACTACCCTGCATGAATCTGCAGGTAGCTAACCAATCAGGTTCAATGTTAACTAGCTAACAATAGGCTTTAACTAGCAATGCAAATGGCTTTTAGATACTAATAATATTACTACACAGATCATACACGTAATGTTAGCTAGCTAGCTAACAGCACACTTTAACTTGAAATGAAAACAACTTTCGGACAAAATTTGAAACGTGTAATATCTGAAAATGTAGCTAGCTAGACTATCTTACCCGTATACATGGATGGACGCTTCTCCCTCTGTCATGGATGCCATGTTTGCCCTTAGTTTGAAGATGTAATCTGGACAGGTGTTTTATCCAGCAGCCTTCTTTGTGTTCTCTTTTCAACTCTTTCTGCATATATGCAATCAAACGCCAGAATTTTCTCCATCTCCTTAGCTATCATACTCTAATTCCACTGATTTCAAAACTCGGTCCTCCAGAAAGTGGAGAGCAACACTTATGCAGTTCTCCTACGTGATATCTTTCAAAAAAGCTGCGTTAGAAAGGATCACCTACACATACTTACCAGCTCATGTTAAAGACAGAAGCGTGCTACATGGCAGACCAATCCGAACCCATCTTTCGGCATGTCCAGCCCACTCATTATCTCAGCCAATCATAGCTAGCGGGAAGGTTGCTGTTTTTTTCCGTGGCTAAACCAACTAGGCTCGTAATTTTACAATTGTATTCACATTTACAGATGGCATACAAGTTTGTTATTAAGGCACATGAAAGTTCACATGTTCCAGAAGGCATTTCTGCCAAAAAACGCATTTTGATAAGAAGTTTATGTTCAAATGGTGCTCCTGTGAAGTAGTGACGCACGACATACGCCTAGTTTCCTGAAACGAGTTACATTTTAACTAACTATTGCTACATCCCAAATAGGTATTTTGCAATGATCACAACCAAAAATTATCTTAGTGACTTTTCAGTCAATAATCAAATACTGAATTAATAACTAATGTTACTGCTACGTAAATCTAGGCTTCCCACAACAGTAGCACGGTTGTAGCTAGCTAATGATCTTAGCTAGCTACTTATTTATGAGGTGAGTATAGCGGGAATACTAACGCTATCAAAGAAAGGAAGTTAGAAAAAGAAATGGAACAAGGAAATTAGGAAATAAAGCGAGGAAATCAGGAAAGGGATCTAGGGAAGACAACGGAGCAAGAAAAGGAGGAAAGGAAGCTATGATAGGAGAAAAGGAAAGTGTTGGGAAAGGACAGGAGGAAAGAGGGCTAGGAAAGCAAATGAGGGGAGAAAAGGAAGGAAAGGGATCAATGAACGGAAACTAGGAAAGATGGAATGGAAGATAGGAATGACCAAGGAAAGGAAGCTTGGAAAGTGAGCTAGGAACAGAAGCTAGGAAAGGAGGAAAAGAAAGGGAACTTGGAAAGGTGGACATGAGAGGAAGCAAGGAAAGGAAAGGGAGCAAGGAAAGGAGGAGAGGAAAGGAAGCTACGGAAGGAAAATGAGCAAGGAATGGAGAAAAGGAAGCTAGGATAGGAGGAAACGAAAGGGAGTTAGGAAAGCAAAGGAGGGGAGGAAAGGAAGGAAAGAGATCAAGGAAAGGATGCTAGGATTTATTTTAGAAATGTCTCTTAGCCTCATGGCAAAATGTGTAGATTAGAATAACATGAGAGCTATAAAACTGCATATTTTTCTCTCTGCAGCATGACAAAATGAAATGTGGAAAATTCCAGGAAATTATGGCCAGACCAGCCCTAGGGGCAGGAGCACATCTCCTGATTCTGTAGCGTGAGGCAGCTTGATGTACAAGTACACCTCTTGGACGCTAGTCTCTCCCCAAACCATCTTCTTAATGCTGAGTGCCAAGCAGAGAGGCATCGGTCAAATTCAACCAGGGATCGAACCCCCACCCTTCCAATTTCAGGTTGGACACTACCACAGGGACACTGATTTGCTGATTATTGTGACTGTAATAGTAGCCGTAGTAGTGTAGACTACCCAAAGTCACTACTGGAGGAAAGGAAGCTGGGAAAATAAGAAAATGATTTAGGAAAGGAGGAGAGGAAAGGAAGCTAGGGAAGGAAAGGGAGCAAGAAAAGGAGGAAACAAAGCTAGGAAAGTAGGAAAGGGATTTAGGAAAGGAGTAGAGGAAAGGGAGCAATGAAATTAGTAAAGGAAAGAGAGTTAGGAAAGGATAGGAGAAAAGAGAGCTAGCATAGAAAAGAAGGGGAGGAAAGGAAGGAAATGGATCAAGGAAAGGAGGAATGGAAGATGTGAAAGACCAAGGAAAGGAAGCTAGAAAAGTGGGAAAGGAAAGGTAGCTAGGAAAGCAAAGGGATGGGGAGGAAAGGAAGGAAAGAGAGCAATGAAATGAAGCTAGGAAAGGAGGAAAGGAAACTAGGAAAGGAGAAGAGGAAAGGAAGTTAGGGAAAGAAAGGCAACAAGGAAATGAGGAAAGAGATAGGAAATGAGGAAAGGGCTCTAGAAAAGGAGGAGAGGAAAGGAAACTAGGGAAGGAGGAATGGAAGATGGGAAAGACCAAGGAAAGGTAGCAAGGAAAGGATAGGAGGAAAGGGAGCTAGGAAAGCAAAGGAGGGGAGGAAAGGAAGGAAAGAGAACAAGGAAAGGAAACTAGGAAACAACAATAGGAAAGGAAGTTAGGGAACAAGGAAATTAGGAAAGAAAGGTAGAAAATGAAGAAACTGATCTAGGGAAGGAACGAGAGCAAGAAAAGGAGGAAAGGAAGCTAGGATAGGAGGAAAGGAAATAGTTAGGAAAGGATAGGAGGAAAGAGAGCTAGGAAAGCAAAGGAGTGGAGGAAAGGAAGGAAAGGGATCAAGGAACGGAAGCTAGGAAAGAAGGACTGGAAGATAGGAAAGACCAAGGAAAGGAAGCTAGGAACTGGAGTTAGGAAAGGAGGAAAGGAAAATGAACTAGGAAAGGAGGAGAGGAAGCAACGGAAGGAAAGGGAGGAAATTAAGATAGGAAAGGAGGAAAGGAAGGTAGGATACCAAACAGATGCACATTCACAAAAACGAATTTGACCACTTGTGTTTGCAAAGTAAGAAATACAGTATGTTTATAAAATGTGCTGTGTAAACCTTGCATTTATTTGCTAATCATCATTTGCTTTTGTTAATGATTACTCATTTGCTTTTAGATCATGACATATGTTTGTGAAACTATATGGGCATATTTACAGACTGTGATTTCTATTTAAAAGTTGCATTCTATATTTGCACACCACTTCTTTTGTTTGTGACTCACTACTTATATATTGTAAACATTTTGACAGAAATCTATCTCCATAGATTAATGAAAGTGTGTGTGTGAGAGAGAGAGACATTCTGTATTTGTGTGTATGTTTGTGTGTGTGTGTGTGTGCGTAGGTGTTGAGAGATGCAATCATACTGCATGGATGGAATGCAATCACACAAAGTAGCTATCCAAACTGCTTGCTTAAATCCACACAGGGATATTTATACTGTGACAATAAATAATAATAATATGCCATTTAGCAGACGCTTTTATCCAAAGCGACTTACAGTCGTGCGTGCATACATTTTTGTGTATGGGTGGTCCCGGGGATCGAACCCACTACCTTGGCATTACAAGCGCCGTGCTCTACCAGCTGAGCTACAGAGGACCACGAGCAGTAGCAGGGGTGGTAGGTACTTTGGTCCTCAATAACATCAACCATCAATAGCTACATATTTTTACATTTTAGTCATTTAGCAGACGCTCTTATCCAGAGCGACTTACAGTTAGTGAATACATTTTTTTTTTTAATACTGGCCCCCTGTGGGAATCGAACCCACAACCCTGGCGTTGCAAACGCCATGCTCTATCAACTGAGCTACATCCCTGCCGGCCGTTCCCTCCCCTACCCTGGACCAATTGTGCGCCGCCCATGAGTCTCCCGGTCGCGACAGAGCCTGGATACGAACCAGGATCTCTAGTGGCACAGTTAGCACTGCGATGCAGTGCCTTAGACCACTGCGCCACTCAGGAGTACATGAAACCCTTTAATCTACAGAACAATCTATAGCAAAAGCAATATAAAGACAGGCAGCGCCAGAACAAAGGTAATAAATACATTTGTGTTGTAGGCACTAAATATCTATGGCTGTATGAAATAAACTGGAGTATTGCGCGTGTGTGTGTGTATTATATTAGGGGTGAAAAAGGCACTAAAAACTAAATGCTGCATGATTTTAACTGGCACCTCTGGAGCAAGAATTAAGACTTGAGGCACAGTGACTGGTAGATATCAAACGGTACACGGTATAGAAAATGATGAGTATAGAACTAGAACGACTAATGTTACAAAAATACAATTGAATGCATAGTGTACATCTAGAAATCAAAAGGGAAGACCACAGCCATATATTTAAAATCAAAACGTTGATATTCAAACAAAAAAAGGCCAATCGTATCAAATCAATGTAATAGCATGGAAAGGCTAGCCGGCTGGTCTGGGTAAGGCACTAGACTGTTGTGGAAAGGCATTTTGTTAGATCAATATGACTAGTGGTGAAGATCCCAAGGACAGACTGTAGAAACAGAAAACATTAATCAATTGAATATATCATAAACAAATCAATGGATTATTTTTTATTTTTTTGTATATCAAATGGAAACAAGAAAACAATCTAGAAACAAAGACTCGATGTGCATTCTGAAGAGTATAGAAACAGAAATTCTAGATGTGCATCTTGGAGAGTTCTGTGAGTTTCTCTCCATAGAAGTCAAACTACTAGAATAAAATATGATCCGATTACATCCATAGTATACGTAAATAATTGTGTAAAAATAATGATAAAACATAAAAAATTTAAGATAATAACTAAGGAATGATTAAGTGTGTCTCGTGTGGAATAAGACTTGCCATACAGACGATGTGGAAGGCATTCTGATAAACAGGTTTGGTCTATACTCTGAAGTTACAGTCGTGTGTGTGTGTGTTAGATGGTAGATTTGGAGAAAGACACTCTGAGGTGGTGGTTATCTCCCAGGTCATGGTTGTGGAACTCAATGAGACTCTCAACAGCCTCCTCCACTGAGCTCATCTGGATCAGAGCCATTTTACGGTCCTTCTGGAAGAACTTGAAGGCTGTAACTGAAGCTCCTGAACTACTGAACAGTGCCTTCAGATCATCCTCTCCTACTGCAGGAGGTATGTTGGAGAGGTGCAGTGTGCCAGAGGGAGGGTAGATGTTGTTGTAGTTTTTAAACATACCAGTCACGACGTGTACCCAGATAACATTAGAATGGCATTACTGTTCCATATGCCATGATTGTAGCTACGCAAACATATGCAGGTTTGATAAACATGCTTGCTTCAATCTACAAAGAGGTACTTGTATTATACTGTCACAATGAACATACCAGTTAGCCAGATAACTTTAGAATGACATTACTGTTCCAAATCCTCCACCAACCACCACTACAACACAAATACAACAGCCCCAGTAAAAGCTCTCCGGTGTCAGATCGTCTGCAAAGCTCACACCCGGAACCTGTTTGCTCGCGCTTCTGGCTCACCCTGGTTTTGTGACCCCGGACCTGCCTGTTTTTGGATACTCTTCTGCCTCAGGAGATCCAGACCTGCTTCTGCCATTACGACTCCTGACTACTCTTCAATCCCGGTAACTCTGACCAGCCTTCTGCCTTGCTACTACGTATTTTGGATTTCCCTTGAACTGTACTGCTGCCTGGTTTCATTCCGCCCTGTTGTGTCTGTGTCTCCCCCCCCCAGGACTTCTGGACCACCCACCACCGGCTTCATAGGACGCATCGCTGCCACTGGGGGGGGCACAGACCCAGCGCATTGGACGGGATCCCTGTTACCCCTGGAGCCTTCATTCACTCCCTACTTCCCTTTTCCCTTAAGTTTAATAAACTTTCTGGTGTGACGCAATTGTGGTCCTCTGGTCGTCTGTCTGAACCGTGACAACATGTTGACAATACCACTCTTGAAAATGTGGACCACTTTCCCTACCTTGGCAGCCTCTCCTCCAAAGCCGACATTAACGCGGAAATACACCACTACCTAAGCTGTGCCAGTGGAGCCTTCTCAAGACTGAGGAAAATAGTCTTTGAGGATCACGACATCCAGGCCAGAACTAAAATCCTGATCTACAAAGCAGTAGTGCTCCCCACCCTACTGTAGGGATCAGAAACATGGACCACATACAGCAGGCACCTTAAAGCCCTGGAGTCGCACACCGAAGATCCCTCTGCAACATCATGAGGATCAGCTGGGAAGACAGGCGCACCAACACCAGTGTCCTGGAGGAGGCGAACATCAATAGCATCATCACTACCATCTCTCAACACCAGCTCCGATGGACTGGCCATGTTGTCAGGATGCCCAACTCTTGCCTCCCAAAACAAGTCCTATACTCACAATTAAACACAGGACAGCAGGTCGACATGGAGCAAAGATGTACTTGTATTATACTGTCACAATGAACATACCAGTTAGCCAGATAACATTAGAATGACATTACTGTTTCATGTGACAGGATTGTGTTATGTTGTTGTCTGTTATTTAAGCAATAAGGCCCGAGGGGGTTTAGTAAATGGCCAATATACACCATGGCTAAAGGCTTATCTAAGGCACGACTCGAAGCAACTGCACTCTTCTGCGCTTGGGGGTCGCATCACACCCACACGTCATGAGTTATATCCACAGGACTCCATAGCCCCTTGTTGATTATCCCTTACATGTACAGTACACTCGACTGAAATGCTGTTTAAGCCTGTCAGCATCCAGGATCCAAACTACCCTGTTCATAACACTGGTTATGTCACTAATGTAATTCTATTAAAATTAAAATATTGACAACATTGTTGCCTTGGGTGCCTTGGTCCACCAAAGAGCACCTTCAATCTACATAGATCTACTGTGTATCCTACCAAAAAGGGTTCTTCAAAGGGTTCTCCTATGGGGACAGCCAAATAACCCTTTAAGGTTCTAGATAGCACCTTTGTTTCTAAGAGTGTAGCAGCGCTTCTCATCCTTTTTTCTACAACATTGTAAAAGGTTTGGCAGTACACTTTGTGTAAACTGAAACAGGTCTCATTTGATGACACATATAAGCATCTCTGGTTCAGTATACTGTACATCTATAACTAAATATGTTTTCATAGTTTGGGGCGCAGGTTTTAGACTGTTGTTTCTTGGCACAAATATAGGTCCAAACTCTGTCAAGCTCCCTACTCTTACTGTTTGGGTCCACTTCCTTTTTGAAGGGGAAAGAGTATTGACCTTTTAACTCACCTTTCCTCTAACCCCAAAATGCACATTGAGGATAAACAACATTACAATAATTGTATTAAGTCGAAACAACAATCTGGAATTAGAGCAGAGTGCCCTATAGTTATAGTGAGCATGTGTATGTGTTCACTCATCAGGGGGCAGTATGTACTTGCTATGTATGTTTGTGATATGTGTGAGTGCATGGATGTGTGTGTGTGTGCACAATGTATGTGAATAGAAGCATATGGTCATACTGTGCTCTCACTGTATGTGATAGCTGATAAAGAGGTAGACGTGAATAGAAGAGGCGAGGGAAGGGAGCGCGGGGAATCATAACTGCGATGAATAACACTGTCTATTACGTAATAACGCATTGCTGTCAGGTAGAGCGAGGGCGCATTTGGCCTCTTTTGCCTTGAGTGGCCCAGCTTTCATTTTTCATCCCTGTGAAGAGGGATAGATGCGACTGAGGATGAGGGGATGAATGGATGGAGGTGTAAAAAAGGTTCAGAGAAGCCATCTTACAACTGGTTCTTAACGTGATGCGCTGGAATTCTCACATCAGCAAAGTGTGGTAGCACACAGCAACAGTTGTCATCTCATGTATTACACTTTAACGCCTGATTTACTATAAAATATATATTTTTAAGTCTTTGTATGTTTATTGGATAGAGAGAGGTAGAGGAGAGATCGCAGTGGGCTGGATTCTAACCCATGCTGCAGTGGTATGTACTGTATGTGCACCAGAGGCAGCAGCGCAGACCGCTAGACCACCACACCTGATTTTCTAAACAAAAGGCACATCTGAAGTAGTCATGACATACCTGGGGAGGTCGACTACATCACGGATTCCCATCAGACCAACTCATTGAATACCCTACTCCTTGAAGGTTGCAGTTGTGTCTAAAAAAACACTACTTTGCGCAAAACACATTATTTTACCCTTTAGTGTGTGCACCTTACTTTACTTTATACTTGGGATATCGCTTTTAAATAGTAAAAGTTCAAAAATCACTAGAGGACGTCTAAGTATTCGCTGTTTACGCAAACCACAGGAAGTTTCTATGTATTAGCATGATGCTATCATGCATTGTGTGTCCGAGTGGGGCTTGTGGCAGTAAGCAGTTGAGGGGGTGGTTTTAGCAATGAACTAGGAAGGGATAGAAGAAGCTGTGAAGAGAGCGGCTACGAGAGACCCCATTGTTGTAGTTATCCTAACTCTGTTACAAAGCACTTCTAGGGCAACAACAAACTTTGAGGGAATAACATCAAGAAGTTCAATAAGTGGTAAAAGGCCATACAAGAGAAGTATACCAGTAAATCCTGTAGAAGTAGGGATTATATATATAACTTTGTATGAGGTAAAAAAAAATATAAAAATATTACACAACTACAATTAGGGCACCTGAACTAGGGTACTGGAACTAGTTTGGTAATATTTTAATACTTGTATTTATCTCATTCGTTTTTGAAAATTTCTTATTATGACAAATCAATGCCCCTGTAAACAACTTTGATTAACATTTCACAGCTGATACCCAAGACGTGTCATTTCTATTCAATCAGGGATATTATAGGGGAGAAGGGCAATACTTAAGAGTGCTTAGTGATTACCCTTTAACCCTGATGGCCAGTTTGAACTCGACAATGGACTTGGGATTGCTGAAATCCATCAGGTAAGCATTTGACTGGTTCATCATTGACCTCTATCCTATTGATTTCTGTAACTTGTCACTAGTTTGGTAGATTGATGGGTCGAGAAAAAGTAGTGCTCCTCAACCTCGGTTCTGTTCATTCTCCTCAGTTGTTCTTCTTCACCTTCTCCGTCACCATTCAGACAACTCAGTAAAAATAATTCACGCCTCGCAGTTTCTGCTGGATCATCCATCATCCAACGATAGCCCTTCGCTGGTTCGTCTTTCTCATGAGGAAGGGCTATTGCAAAATCCGCAAAATCCTCCAGCAGTTTGTGAGGGTAGGCAGCGGTGAGGACCAGTGGAGGCTGCTGAGGGGAGGACGGCTCATAATAATGGCTGGAACGGAGTGATTGGAATGGAATCAAACCCATGGAAACCATGGGTTTGAGGTTTGATACCATTCCACTCATTCAGCTCCAGCCATTACCACAAGCCCATCCTCCCCAATAAAGGTGCCACCAACCTCCTGTGGTGAGGACAGACTCTGGATTATAAGGCAATGTTTAGGTCAGTGTTGCTGTGAAGAGAGCCTTTCAAGATCTTGTTTAAGGCCTCCAAAAAGCTAGAGCCGGCCCTGAGTGAGGGGGTGGTGGATGGTGGTGCCTGAAGGACAGCTAGCTAACTGTGTGGGTAACCTCTATTAATCTGCTGACGAATACGTTGAGGCACCAAATGGGAGCTATACTGGATAATCCATCTGTGCTGTTTGGTGAGGACGCTTGGAAGCTCCCTCCAGGTTGGCTGCTAGGTGGAAGCAGTATCTAGGCACACAGGCACAGCTTTCGCTATAACTCAGTCGAGACTTTAAGTAGAACTCCTGCTGTCGTTCTTCTATGAGGCCCATCTCTCATTCTCTCTCTGTTTCTCAATCCATCTCTCTATCCATAAAGGCACAGCAAGAGAGACATTTGAGCCTCAATCTCCCTTTTCTTTCTCTTTTTTCTATCAATCTCTCCCTCTCTTACTGAAACATTCGTCAGAGCCAGCAGCTGAGGTGTCCTAGTGTGAAATCTGTATGAGAATAGACAAGGCCATCTGCTGTCTTAACCAGAAGAAACAAACAAACAACATCAATGTTTCAGGTCATGCTACAATGCCAACCAAATGGGCACCTATCTGGGGGTTTCAGAACATGATGAAGAACAGTGACAAAAACACTTCCATTAACTTAACATTTAACATACTACAATATCCTCGACCTTGATGAAGTAGCATGGGCAAGGGCAGGGGATTGCCTCCCCTAGGTGTTCACTTCACACAACTTCCAAGCCAAACA